AACTTTCACACATCCCATCGATGTATTGCATGACGTGTGTTGCAAAGATAGGATTTTCGTATTTAGTATTTAATCTAAGCACTGCGCTATCGACCACAACATCAAAAAAAAATAGAATACATGTGTAATTCTTCTTCTGTAAACGGCAGGGACGATAGAAAGTCGTAGGTTCGATTCCTGGCACCAGCTTTTTTCGGTTTTTCGCTCCGTGCAGACCAAACAAGGTGTCATTTACAGGTCGTCTATGACTAATTGGGGATCACGGTAGTAGTAGCGGGCCGGAGGCCCGCGATTCCCCTTCAAATATAAATTTTTTTCCGGTTGCTACCGTCTGGCCCACTTTTTGCTACCGTCTGGCCCCCCGGCCAAAGTTTTGTGTTACGGTCCCTAGCGAACTCTTGTTAGCACGTCGCTCTGTATCGCGCGTACATCGACATTAGTCATTCGCTCAAGTGGTGGAATTGTGAACTCGCTTATTTGAAGGTGTGTTCAGACTCTTAACATCAGTCACAGCGCGAAATGCTCAATCCTGTATAAAGAGAACTGTGTAGGACAAGCTGAATGTTACTTAACGCGAAAGAGTTATACAGTATAGCTACAAGAAAGCATTCAAGTTACCGTAAGAGCGTTTGTATATTTCCATGGTTGCATTGACACATTTTTCCGTCTTTTTGCGAAGCCCGTTGATTTTCATTGTCTGTTGGTGACTATGGCCTCCACATCAACTACATTCTGGATGGCGTATACCTTCACCTGTTGGTGGTTGATGGGCCCTGCAGTACATGCGGTCAGAGAATTACTAGAGAGCTTCAGACAATCTGCCGGTTCAGTGTGTGGAAACACCCTAATCGACGTGCTCATGGTGGTATTGTTGATTACTCTGTGGGCGGTTTCTTGGATGTGGTTCAACCGCTATTTCGCACTTCCTTGCTCGTTCGCCAATACGAGCCTCGTAATGAGCATCACGTGAAATGCTTAACGTCATATTATTGTTTGTCACTAGCCTGTTAGCGAAGAACGTTATCTGAACTCTCTTTTCACTTGAGACTAAATCTAATTGGGGTTCCATGTATCGGGTTCGCATTGGGTAGTCAATTGATTGGCATCTTCGGACAACTTCGGCATCTTCGGAAGTCCTCTCTGCAACGCTGAGCTTTCCCTTAACCATCGGATGGTCTAATGATCCCTCTTCATCTTTTCTCAATCAACTAAAAATTTAGATCGATCAATTTAAAAGTGGACCTAAACCGGGTTTTGGATTTAAAATTTTAGACATCCACTATAAACTTTTCGCCACTTGGAAAAACCCTAGTATTGTTATATTTCAGTAGGATGACATGGATTATGTCAATCAATTTAAAGCTGTCTTATGCATATTGAGAAGATGCAATCTTTGCATCATGCGACGTCTAACTTGAAGATCTTACAGGCTTCGAGATAGTCGTCTTCCTGTGCTGTACGGTTTTGTGCAGTACACGGTGTATCTCTTATCGAGATCTACTTAGAGAACATAGAAGAGCTCCTTAGACGTTTCATCAGGTAGTGGAGTTTTTCTGGGCCCGTGTGTCCATACACCGTGTGGTCATCATGTCGCTTTAGCTTAAAGCCTTTAAGCGACTCGCTTATATGGTTTGCATCTATTCGAAGCAAGGTCTTGGACGATGGATATGATTGTTCCTTCGCAATGAACCATAGCCTATGGTCATATCAGAGGCTTGGGATCGGCAGATGAACTGAATGCGGTGTGAAGTCACACCCAGTTCAACATGAGTGGACAAAGGTTGGTCGCTCACGGTTAAACAGACTTTGACGGCAACTTTGAATTTGACGCAAATACAAAAATGGCTTGCACTATGTTTTAAATTGGGTGGCGATGTTTAAAAAAGAGACAGAGATAAATAGACAACAAGAGAACTGGCCGCCAACGATTAGCTGAAACAGTGTTGCTGTGACTCGGTACAAAGTACGGCATACAAAGAGACACCGTCGTAGCTATCTTCCGATAGCCGAGAATACATGAATACGATGGTCCAACGACCAGAGCTATGCTACTGGCTGACGTTGAGATACAGAGCGCGCCGAGGGCTCCTCTCAATCCGGCCGCACGCACGTGTCACGTTGGACAGACAGTTTTTACCGCGACAAGAGGCTGCGTTCTGGAGCATCATGCGCGTGTGCTTTGTGGTTTGTTTTATCTCTCAAGTAAATGTAACCAATGCATTTCTCAGCATTATGGGCGCAGAAAATTCTGGAAACCCCTCAATGTTCAATGATTCATCCAAATCCTCCAATATCCATTTTCGCAGCAGAAGCTCCATTCTTTGATCATCAAAGGAGCGGATGAAGAGCATTCATTTCGCACACTTGGAGGAACAGCGTTGGAAGGTTTCTCCCATCGGCGAAGGCGCAACTGTGACGAGGACTGTCACAATCGCTGTGGCATAGGACAGCTGGAGCTGGTATGCTAATAGCATTCGAGGAAAAGCCTGCGTTATATCAGAACTCGAAGGTTGGGGGTTTCATCAGCCTCACGGCCTCCAAAAAAGCCTTACAAAATACATCAGTTCCCGACGTTGACATTGGCCACTAGCAACATATAGATTCTCTTGATAGAACTTGATTACATAGTACGCCACAGCGATACCAGATCTACGACTGCTGTACAACGCGTACCATGCCGAAGAGACAGTCTCTTTCCGATAGAGTTCATCGACATGGAGCGTCACGCACCTGCGTGCTCCATCCCGCGGTTCATTTCTCAGCCGATGAGTCAGTTCATCGGGCCACGGACGACCTCGTTTTTGGAGGATGTATTTCGCTCTCATCCATTCAACATTATCATCCCTATAACTTTGAGCGACATATGTGAATTGAATTGCCGCAAGTATTCGCTGGTTGTAGGAAAATCTGCTTATCCGTTAGCTTTTTTGGTAAGCAAAATGATCAAGCAAACTATCCTCAGCATCCTCTTAGTTTGTAGAGCTATCAGTGGTCAAGACGTGGCGCCTCCTATTGGCTCATACCATCAATATGATCCGGTCACCGGTCTCTCTAAAGACGACCTAGTTGTCACTGTCGATCGCGACGAGAAGGGAGACATGATTATCTCGCTTTACATCACCAACGACCAAGACAGCGAAAGCCCTAAAGTTGACCAGTATATTAATTATCAGATCAACGAAGTCCCCCTCAAGTG